ATACTACTATAGGATCCCAGGTAATATTATATCTAGGAAAACTAGGTTTTTCCCGAAAGGCACCTTTCAAAAAACGCTTAATTAATTGCTCATCTGTAGATGAGATATTCAAAATTAAAGATAAGGCAGACTTATGAGCATTTAATGTGGCAAAAGAAATATCTGTCTCAAAGAGAAGGCTTAAAAAGGAGATAATATGACCAACACTTGCGACGTATGGTCTCAGTCTATTTTCCTTACAGTAAACCCACCATTTACGGAGAGTACCACTATATTGCCTCAATGTAGATTCACTTAATGATTTAATCATTAATGGTATAGCTTCTTCAGGAACTTCTTTTTCTACAAAAGATCCCCGGATAATATCGACGCCACTAGGGGTATGTTCTTCCAAAATGGATGGCTGGTTCTAAATGGAGATAAAAGTAAGTTTTTATTGGGTTTAAAAATTAAGGGTTTCGTTGACGAAAGTCTTAGAAACAAAGAAAACCATGATTGATTGGGCCAGTAGGGAACTACAAGTATTCCTTTAGATTTATCTTTAATTAGCTTATTCAAAACCCGTCCAATTATGGGAAAAGGAGGAAACGCGTAAAATTTCCAGGATTTATCCCATTTAATTGTAAATGCATCAGATGTTAAGGCTCCTGGATCTTTCAACCATGAAATATATGTATTACATTTAGCATTTATCCTAGACGCAAACAAATCGATATTAGGCTTACCAAACTGTTTTACTATTTTAGAAAATTTCTTACTATTTAACGAATATTCCATCTCAATATTTAAAATTCTCGATTGTTCATCAGCAATTATATTATCTTTGGATGGTATATATGAAGCATAGAGCATTATTTCCCGTTTTTCGCACCATAGCCATATTTGTCTACTTAGATTACTCAATTTCTCAAATTTTATGCCTCCCATTTTATTTATATAGGCTATGGCCGTTTTATTGTCTACACGCAGAAGAATGTTACAGTTTTTTGACTCTGAAGCAAAACACTGCAATGCATAATGAATAGCCAAAAGTTCGAGAAAATTAATGTGATGTTTCATATCTTCTTGATCCCAAAACCCATGGGTAACTTCTGTATTACATGCAGCCCCCCATCCCGTTTTGGAAGCGTCTGTATAAATTTCGTAAGCATATTCTTTACTACCCAAATCATTAAAAGATGTGTCTATTGTCTGTTTCCACCACAATAGTTCCCTACAAATAATCTTTGATACTATAATTTTAGAATTATAACTTCTAAATCTCTTTAAACTCAAAAATTTTGCTCGTTCTAATCTCTTAATATGCAACCATCCGTATTGTACAACCGGACAAGCTGAAACTAACAATCCAATAATACTTGATAACTCTCTTATTTTACATGTTCTCTTCCTAACAAAAGTATTAATTGCATTTAAAATTGCCTGTTTTTTATGTTTGGGAAGATAAAATGTCATGTTCTGACTATTGTAAACATATCCTAAATATTCACAAACTTGACTCGGGTCAATTTTTGATTTTTTAAAGTTTATTAAAAAACCCAATTTTCTCAAAGTGGACAACACTATAGCTATACTCTTATCTACTTCACTTTTAGTTTTTCCTAGCAGTAAAATATCATCCAAGTAAATTATACCCAGGATTCCGAGTTGCCTAAAATAATTAAATATTGGTTTTAAAAGCTTAGTGAAAACATAGGGTGCCGTAGATAAACCCATAGGCAAGCAATTAAATTCAAACAGTTTTTCCGCAAATTTAAATCTAAGAAATTTCTTATCTGTATTATTTATTGGTATCATATAATAGGCATCTTTTAAATCGATTGTAGCCATGTAGATATTTTGAGAAATTAAATCTTTAACAGATTTATAATTATCCAATTTGAAATGAGGTGCTTTCAAGAACTTATTGAGATACTTTAGATTTAATATAAAACGTTTTGTTTTGTCGGCTTTTGGTATAAGAAAATAGGGAGATAAAATTTGGTTCTCTACTGGTTGACATTGACTGATTACTCCCTTGTTCACTAAATCCAAGATGGCAGCGGAATAGTGCCTTATCTCATCTTCCTGCATTTTCTTTGGAAGATAACTATATTGAAAAGGATTTTTGAAAAATGGCATCTTATATCCCTTGACCCACGACAAAATGGTCTTATCCTGAGTAAATTGCAGCCAATTTGCCATATAATGTTTTATTCTACCACCATGTACACTGGTACTCACCTCTATTTCTGGTAATTGCGTCTCTGGTACACTTTGTCGTGGCGATCCTTCCCTTGAGCCCGGTCTCTTCCTTGAGGGCGACCTTTCATTCTTCCTTTGTGGAAGTGAGGCTGGTAGTTTAAAGATACCGAAGGTCTCTGCATGAGGTTACCTCTGAAGGACTTATCAGGAAAAACGTTATTTGAGGTAGATAGCAGCTGTCTTGACGAAGATGGATGAGCATTCTTCATTTCTTTCCCCGTTCTCCATTGGGCCTTAACCTCTTTGAATTTATCGGCAAAATTTTTACCACACAAAAATTCGTCAGGTTTACTTTCTCTGACGATTTTCTTCACTGTAGAGTTTAAGTGCCCTTCTACGTGATATTTCCGGTTTGTGGACATCATGTGGAAAACGCCACACAAAATTTTGCCAGCGTCCACCACACTGGGTAACATTTTGGATTTAAAAACCATCGAGGCTGCATCCGGTGCTGCTACATCTTCTTTCAACATACCATCAATTACCCCTGCGATGGCAGCCAGTGCTACGCCCACATGCTTCTGAATAGTAGAAACATATTTGTCCTCTTTTTTGACAGGATCGCCTAAGGTTGCTTCCAATTCCGGGTTCAACAAAGGGGCTCGTAAGTAAGGAATATTTTTGGGAATCAGGTATTTTTTGTCCAACTCCTCCTTGTCCGATTTCTCTAAACCTAATGTCACGTACTTGGTCCATCGATCAGCCAGCGATTTGTGAACCTCACTTCCTAATACTGGCTCACTTCCAGACGGAATTTCGCCCAGGAGTCTAAGAATTTCCGGATTTTCATCTTGAGATTGTTCTTCAACTACAGAAAGAGACCTCTCTGCCTCATTGATTATGACTTCTGGCTCTAAATGTGTATACGTTTGTCCCGTACTATATACACTGCTGATACTTCCTGATGAATCAGAATCCGAGCTGGATTCACCTAAAAAATATATACAGTCCTCACCTACTTGCGCATGCAATATCCTTAACATATTCTGTAGAATATGTCCTGGGTTTAACGGTTTTACCCTATTTATATGTTTTTCACGTTATGTGAAAACTGCAAAAGGCTTTAACGGTTCTAGCCCATTCTTAATACATTAGGTTTAACGATTTTACCTAAAAACACTTACTAGTGCTCTTACACCTATCACCTCGCCGACTTTTCTTGTCAATTTTCTCTAAACTCTTAATTAGTTTTCGCCGTTTTCTCTCCAATCTTGCAGCATCACTACTTGTTTTTCGCTTCGGCATTTCACGAATTTCCACCAAAATGTAAATAAACCGGTCCGTACTCGACGAAGCACAACAGTGTAATGGTTCATATGCCTGGGCCGATAAGAAACGCAAGATAGATAGGTATTTTGTTTGTATACGGGGTACCTTTAAAAATGTTGTGCTCGACAAAGCATAAATGGTGTTACTACGTGTGTGATCTAATTGGACGAGTATAGCGAAGTATAATCCCTTCCAACAACAAACGCCAACGTCACATGTACTTGCATTCGTTTGTTCGGCATTGGATTTTAGGTCTGTACGCGGCTTAACAAAAATAGGAAAATCGAGCAGAAAATAGGATAGGTAACCCGAGCAATACGTATTTCTGCTTGTTGGCTTCATCAGGCCCGAAATGAATGCACATATGCAACCACCAAAGTAGATACACGTTGCCATACATCCGGATACGGGTGTAACCTAAGAAAACGAAGATGGAGAGAGAAAAAAATGACACACGAATAACACATAGTCAAAGAACAAAATTCTGGATTGATGGGGTTCAATTAGGAAGAAGTTTTAACTATTACTCAAAAATTAAAAGATTTATTAATTATTGAAAATTCTTTAGAAACTTCATCTTTATCACGTGCTAAGCCGAAATTGAGTTGAGATTCCACAAAAAAAACAGTATGCAGGTACGGACTTGACATATTATTATATGAGGTACCTATGTGTGCATTATGTAACTAAACGTAATGTAGGATTTCGGTGAGAGCATGCTGAGTCCGGGCTTATATATTCGGTTTTTTACATCTTCATCATTATTTTGAAATTGTCTGGAAAGTCAAATTCAGATCATTTGTAAATGCCATTTCCTTCAAAGCAGAACCCATATCAATTGGTAGAGTTCAATCACTAAAAAATTACCGAAAAAAATAAGTAGGGTACATAATTTCAATTTTGTCTTTTATTTATAACATTTATTGTTAATTTTTCTTAAAGCCATTTTCAATTCAGAGTATAATATACAGGATGCTGCACTTAATAAAACAGAAAGAAATAAAAAAACTGCTTATGACCTTGAATTTTGAGTTTCAAAAACATCTACAGTTCAATTGTAAGCCTTACTTTGTCTAATATTGAAATCACGTTAGAAGCATTTGAAATTTTGGATTTTGTATCACATAAACTAGCCGTTTAATTATGAAACCAAAAAGGCGCGATCAATAAATTTTGTTGATTAACAAGCACGATTATTATTTTCGTTTTCCCACAATTTATTATTTACATTATATATTGTCTGTTTATATTGGCCAAAACATTGAATTTCTCAGAAAATGAATTCGCCATTTTTATGTATAATCTCAGTACTTTTTACCATTTCTCACCATTTTCTTTAAACTCACTCACATTCAAGTTTTGGGCCGCCAACATCCCTGCAGAAGCTAGCTTCAAACCATTCATCTTTCATATAGTAATTCTCGTGATGCCATATGCATATGCCACATAACAGTACTTTGTTCTGAATATGTATGGTTTTCTTTCAGGTTCAAGAAGGAATTGAAATAGGGGCATACGAGAGCATTCCAGGAAACCAAAAGATTAACCTCTTCGAAATCTTAGGGGACCAGTTTCCTCCAGAGGTCGTCAACAATTTGCAAACACAAATCGATCAAGTTGGAAGAAATTAATCGCTCTTATCTGACTTCATTTCTGAGGCGGCACTTCTTGTCATGTAGATTTTGGAGATGTGATGTAATCACTATGTCTGGTGGTCAGTAGTTTTAGGTTTTCAGATAGTATATTGTGGTATGTTGCTTATGAGAATCGACATTCAATTTCATGTGTTTCCACCAAAATATTGCGTCATGATTTGTTTTCAATGTTGCATTAGGTTCTATAAACTTTATAGTCAATTTAAGTAGAATTGTAAGACCTCAAAGAGATTATCTGAGATGTGGAATTGTTAATTGTCACATGTTCATTTTATCACAAATATTGACGTAAATTAAAAAAATGGTATTACCATTTTTCCATTAACAGTACCAACTTTCAATGTACGTCCATTTTATATGCTTGTACATAACCTCAAATATAATATATTAACGCCTTTGTAATTAATTTTTAATTCCCATTCGTTACTGAAGTGACAGAAGGATTACCTCTAGTATTTCAGTAATCTGCTCAGTTTGAATACGAGAGAGTGCTGAGGACTTATAGGGGTATATAAAAAGCGAGGTTACGTAATACAAATCGTGGCCGATTAGCCACCATATTCAAAAATTGCTTCCAAGTCCTGAAATGGTTATTCAACATATTTCGGCTCTGTGCCTACGGCCTGACCGTTGAGATTAGCCTTTTCATTTTCAGCGTTGGGAGTGATGTATCCCCTCTTTCTTTTCGACTTTACTTACCCCATTCTAGCATCTCAACTCCTAGCCTATGAGTATCCCCCTCCCCGCGCCGTAGCAAGCCGGCAGGTGGCGAGTTGCTCGCTTGTTCTTCAAAAACTAATCTCAATTTCCACAGCTTCTCAGTACGCTTTATTTACAGCGCGTGAGCGGTGTATCTCGGTGAGTGCGCAGAAGAGACGCGTGTGACCTAATGTTGTTGTAACGTTTGTTATTATGATTAAGATAATCTCGACAAGGTAACATCCCGTTTATGAGTATATGTATTCTTTTCTCTGTTTTAGATATTATATGTAGTAGCAACATTCGATTCTCAACACGGCAAATTAATCTACCGACATTCAGATGTCAATCACACTCAACTATACAAACATGTGTTTCAAACGGCTACGCAGTTTGGCCCGACCGGCTCCGAACCTTGATCCGTCCGGACACAGAAATTGATCCTACCGTCTGTTGAATTTAGCCCGACCACCCGCTAATTCTGACCCGACGAGACGCAGAATTTGGCCCGACCGGCCGCACATTTGATTCGACCAACCTATGGCGAATCAGAAAGAGCAATTATCTAGTTGAGAATCGAATTGCTTACAAGGCGAGCAATAATTTGTGATCTATTTCTATAGTGTATTTCCACCCAAGATAGAATGGATGCGTGATTGCCGAAAGCAAGGACGGCGTACAGGGTCGCATTCAGGGCTACCTTCGAATGATGGACTACCACCAACGTGTTGTAAAACAAAGATCACAGTATTTAACAGAAACAGAAACTTAACAAATTACTCAAATACACTTAAAAACAACAACAGCAACAACCAAGCAAGGTGGATACGAAAACACGAGCACGCAGTGATACACGCGACACACGGTGGCCTGAGTGCAACTCTGCCTGCCCTGCCCCTGCCCCGCGCATTATTCCGCCAGGCGGCCGCTTGAAATTTAATGGCGAATTGATCAATAAGAGGCGTTGTCCCCACCTGTTACCGAGAGATCACGCGCTAACTGTTATTATTTACATCTCATCTTGAATTTGGATTCAATTTAGATGACAACTGCAGCTGAATTTATTACGCTGGGCGAGCTGTTCCTAAGAAGCTGTGGAAATGGAGATTAGGTTTTTGAAAAAATGAAGTTCTTAATAGAAGACACTTTACCAAACGGCTGGCAGCCATGGAAGGTTATAGACTGGTCAAAGGAGGAGCTATTAGGCAAAAACATCTACCATGAGGTCCTCAATAAAATTAGGTTTGCGTTACCAACCTTAAAAATCGTGAAGGCTTTTCACCCAGAGGCTGCATCTGTGGGGGAGAAGACCTAGAAAAGCATCAAATTGGCTCCCTTAATTTGGGATATCTGCAGAGCGTTAATTTTGAGCCCTCATCAGCTAGCAGCAAGACTACGAGGATCATCCACCCAAGCGGAACTGTTTAATAGAGCGGTGGAGAAAGTCAAGCCCTCGTTGGTGTCCCGCGAATAAGTCTCGGAGGCGCTTTTGACCGACGCGGAGTCTCGCAGATCTTCCAGTAAAAAAAACCTAGTCCTCAATGTCCAGTTCTAATGAATTTTCCTCAAGTTCCAACAAGGCCAAGGCACTTCGACCGGTCAAGTAACGCAAACACACAAAACGTCAGTTATCACCGTATCATGACAACACTTATACTAAATCGAGACTGAGTAAGCTGGAAGGAATGATCGAGAACAACTCTCAATGGAAATGAGAATACAAGCGATACTATCAGCTGGAGGGCACCAAGCCCTGACCTGAACTTGCCGTTCAAGGCAGAAGTAACGAATCCTCACGATTGGGACATTTTCTCCCCCGTAACGAAGGAAACCGAACCAACTATTCTTAGAGCTGACTAGCTAATTGAATTACAGGGCATAGCATGTCAATGATTTGGGGAGGCTTCTTGGGATAGAATTCGTTATAATGAAGTCCATAAGTAACTGCACGCATCTCCAGTTTTCAACTGCCTTCGAGTAAACCCAACACTCTTCTCGAATGATCTGACTGGTGGTTTGAGAGATTCACTGGCCAAAGTGAATTAACGTTTGGCACTATGGTCCACGGCCTGTTACAACAGAGAGCTAAAATACAAAAGTCGCTAAAAAAGTAGCAGAAGAGCACCCCGAAGCAGGGGAAGGTTTAATTAAGATACTGGCACCAGATAGCGAGGTTCGGAAAATTTCCGACGATTTGCTTCAGAGATGTGTGGTAAAAGAGCAGAACTCATCGAAGCTATAGTCGAATACCAGAATTGATGACAGTAGCAGAAGTCATCATGCGCCACTGCTTTGACGCGTAATAGCAGTGGCGTACGATTAGTTTCGCTACTGTCATCAATTTTGGTATTTTACTATAGACGAAAGCTCTACGAGCAAAAATCCAAACATTATCGTTTCGTACTGAACGAAATTCCACCATTAGAAACCTTTCTGTGGAATGAGTAGAAACTCCAGGAGGCCATTAAATCTCACGGAATTTCAAAGTTCTCTTCCATTCAGCGTCGTTCTTACGGGTCAAATTGGGCGAGAGAAGCACCTAAAATAAAATTATCTCTCGGACAGACAAAGAAGTTCCATCAAAGACCATCAAAGAAACCCGTAAAGCTAGATGCAAGGCTTAATAAATCTTATAAAGATAAGGACCGTAAAGACCTTTCTTCAAGGAACGCAACAGCTCTGAAAAGAAACGGCGTTTTTGACCCACTTGAAGTTTTTCAAGCGGGACAGCTAGGAAGGTATACTTCAACATAGCGAGAACTAGGAGCCCCAATAGCAGTTTTACAGGTTCTCAAAGGCTATGCGATACCATTCTTAGGGCAACCTCCGTCAAAAGCATTAACAAAGGAATAGTTAGAAAAATTCGAGACACCACACATGCCGCCAATTTCCAGAGAGATAAGAAACCTTATAAGCCAGAAGTCTCTAAGAAAATTGCATTCAAGAACAGGTTCCGTGTCAAAGACGTTTCTAACCTCGAAATCGGATGGCGTTTTTACGCCCAGTCCTGAACTTTAAAAGACTAAACGAGTATATCTCGACTCAGAAGTTCTGCTTGTTAAACCACCGAAAGTTAGCTCAGTTTATTCAACAAGACGATTTTATGGTAAAAGTAGATCTGTCCCAAGCTTATCTCCATGTCCCAATCAAGAAAAGGCACTGGAGATATTTGGCAATATACAGGGTGTTCCTTAATGATATGCGAATATTTAAGGGTGTGAATCTACATGCAAAATTAATGTTAGTTTGCTTTATAAACTATGGTCCAAAAATGTTTTCTTACAAAAACTCGGGGTGTTGAAGTTTTAGGAAAAAAATGGAGATTAATTAATATTTTCAGAACCGGTTAAGATATTTCTCTGATATTTAGTACGTAGTAAAAGTTAATAAAGTCGCATATTTTTCAATGCAAAAATAGCTTTAGCTTCAACAGTGGCGTGCGTACGGGTATTGACTTCGGTATTTTTTAAGAAAACAATGGTACGCCAATAGTTTTTTGCCAAATAAAAATTATTTTTGAATTCCCAGTTCAATTTAAAACAAATGATCCCTTTTGAATTGTTTTCTTTTGATGTGCCATTTTTGAGTAAAAAAAACCGTTCTATTGTCCGAGAGAATTAATGTAATAATTGGAGAATGCAATTTAGCAATAAATATCTACTTGCTCTGGAATATGTCACTGGCTTTTGACATCTGACAAGTCTCTGTTATTCAAATCTGTTCGCAGTGACATCTTTTTTATTATTTAGTTTTTACAATCTTGTTAATCTAGATCATTCTATATGAAGCATATATTAAACAAATTTATTATTTTTTAAATTTTATTTTAGGAAACAGTGTAAAAAAATGCCGTACAAAATATGGTACAATATATACAATATACAATAGGCACATACGCGAACATTAAGGTTTAGTATGGAAGGACAAAAAACATTTTACATGCATCCCTACATTGCACTTAGAGCACCTTGTTTTTGCTCTATCATGACATAAGCCACATCTAGTTGGCTTTTCTTGTGGTATCACAAAATGATCTAAACGATCATAACGAATAAATATATATATATATATATATATCGGGTTACCTATCCTATTTTCTGCTTGAATCCACTTTCCTCCTTTTTGCGGATTTTGCCCACTATTTTCCTTCTTTTTGTTATATACTTTTCTCCGCATGATCATTTTCTCTTTATATATATATATATATAAGTTATGTACCAGTCTATAGAGAAGAATATGCTGAACAAGGACTTTTGCCTCCACGTTCCTTTATTATCAGTTTCAGTATTTTATTTCATTTGTTCTTTACTTTGGTTTGTATAATGCACTTTGCAGTCAGTCTCGATTCAGAACTCATTCAATTAACATCGTTGTATTTGGTTTTTCTCAAAAATAAATCTTTTTTAAAAACGTTTTCGTTGAAGAAAGATATTTGAGTGGCGCAGCAAGCAGTAGGATAGCCAGACGAAAAAGGACATTTTCGGTTCGTTTCAACGGTTTGCTGGCTATAACGAAACCAACCGCGATTGGTCGCGAAGGATCCGACGGAATATCGATATCGTTACCGTGATCACCGGAACCAAATTTGGGGTAGAACCCTACCCATATCGAGAAACCAAGAAGACAGCAGCCCAGAGGACAGAAGGAACATCTGCTCCAGGATAGGCAACCCAGCAGTGGCCCAGGCATACGGACA